AAGTTGTTATTTTTGGTCGACCAGAATAAAACCTCGGTCGGCCATTTCGTTGGCGTCAGAAACAACATGGTCGAACACCTAATATATAGGTCGAACACTTGATGGCAGTCATTAACAAAATGGTCGACCGGATAAGGAAAGAGGTCGACCAAATAGAAGATAAGTGTTCTATCAAAGTGTCCAATCATTTGACGTAAAATGAAGATCAAGTGTTGGTTTCTCGGTCGACCTAATCCGGTACGAGGTCGACCTAATACAAGAAAGTCAACCTATGCCCCGTGTCTTTTTTGCTTATGTATGTCGATTTGTGTGGTTCTTTTAATCGTATAAATTATGTTTCAAACCATCATAATTAGTCATAAATAATTATAACAAGGACTCATCAATTCATAGCATAACAACTAAAAATAAAACAGAAATCATAATTGTTCACACATAAAAATAAAACTAAAAAAACAACAGAATAACAATCAACAATCGTTTTGACCACTAAAACACACAATATAAAATCTCCTCTCTCCTACTCATCTCCCCCCTCTCCCTCATCCACATTTTCTTCATTTTCTTCATTGGTGGTGCTAGCATGATGGTGGTCGGATGTGGTGGGATGCATGTATCTTCCGCTGAAAGATCGCCACTCATCTCGCATCTCATTCACGGTCACCTGCATTGTGCTCATCTGGGCGGTCATTTGCTCCATGTAGTCGTACATGCCAGTCATCAGGGTAGACATCTGGCCCATGTACTCGTACATGCCATCCATGCGCTCCCACACACGCTCTAAGGTGATCGGTGGAGTTGAAGTCTGCGCCTCCGCCATTGGCTCGTCTCGAGGTCCTTTATCACCATCATCATCCTCATCATCATCATCACCACCATGAGCATTGTTTACTCTGACATACTCACCATTACGCAGCTCAAAGCCCATCTTTTTCAGAGATGAAACAGTATAGAACTCTTGCCTTGAGATTCTTAACCCCACCTCTTCACTTAAATTCACATTAAAATGCTCAAATATCACAGTGAGGATCATCCCATAGGGAAGATTCTTGTTTGAACTCTCTGCAGCAGTAATCATGTGGTTAAAGATCAAGTATGGCAAGTTCACCTTCTCGTTTAACAGTAGGTTGGTGAGGAGCTCCATGTCGAAGTAGGTGACTGTCTCCCGATGTCCACCCTTTGGCAGAATGTTTAGGAAAGCATGTGGTGAAGAACTCTGGCTTGAACTGTCAGGTGGTTACTCGTTGGCCTATTGCGCCCCTGAGCATCTTCCTCTTCATCAAGACCACATATCGTCTGGATTTGCTTGGCTCTCGTGAAATGTGTTTCATTCCAAGCACCGTAAGAATGGATTCTCTTCCCCTCGTTTGGAGCCTCCAGTACTTGCGCCAACACATTCTTGCTGATGCGCATCGCCACCCCATTCACATAGGATTTGAATGCGTGAATGGATCCATTTGCATTGCGCTCGTAGACGATGTTGTTGTAGAAGTATTGTACCAGTTTTGGGTAGTATGGTACATTGAGTGATATCACCTTCAGCCACTCCTGCTCGATGAAGGGACCCAGAAACCCGTAATTCTCGAAATGAGAATACGCATCCGTCGTCAATGGCCTTCCCGGAGCCACCCTGCGGTTGTGCATTCTCTTCTCTTCATAGTTCTCACTTTGCTCCTTGGTCTGGAACAGATTGGGATTGAACTCTTCCCATTCCGAACTTGAGGCAGCAGCTTTTTGTGCCTTTCTTTTCTTTCTGCCGCCAAACATCCTGCGATCAAACAGTCAAGAATACACGTTAGTCACATTTTCGAAATGAACAATACGCGATCGACCACTCCATAAAGCGGTCGACCTCAGTTAATTTAAAACGAGAATGGGTCGACCTCAGAAGAATCATAGGTCGACCTCAGTTAGTTTAAAACGAGAATGGGTCGACCTCAGAAGAAGCATAGGTCGACCTCAGTTAATTTAAAACGAGAATGGATCGACATAAACCCGTAACAATTCAAGTACAAAATTGCTTTCATAGGTCGACCTCAGAAGAAGCATAGGTCGACCTCGGAAAATTTAAATCGATTGAAAACCATAGGTGACTTTCATCAGGAGTGCAGTTCAGTACATTAGACCACCTTGGAATGCACTCGAAGACACAAACGTCTGCTGCCTTCACCGAGTTATCCTTATCAACCCTATGCCGATCACCGACAAGCAAAGGAGAACTCGGTGAAGGCAGCAGACGTTTGTGTCTTCGAGTGCATTACAAGGTGGCCTAATGTCCTGCACTGCACTCCCCATGAACATCTAGCTTTCAATCGATTTAAATGGCCCGAGGTCGACCTCAATATCATCACAGGTCGACCTCAACAAGTTTAGCATAAATAACTCGAACTTTTGCCTTCATAGGTCGACCTCAAAAGCATCATAGGTCGACCTCGGCTAAATTGACACGAGTCTGAAATGGCCCAAAAAATCGTAGCAATTGAGTGCAAAACAGATCCGGTCGACCTCATAAATATAAGAGGTCGACCAGTGTTAGTTTCGCACAAAAAAATCAAAGACAATGGCATAACTCGATCTTTTGCCTTCATAGGTCGACCTCAAAAGCATCATAGGTCGACCTCGGCTAAATTGACACGAGTTTGAAATGACCCAAATGATCGTAGCAATTGAGTGCAAAACAGATCCGGTCGACCTCATAAATAGAAGAGGTCGACCAGTGTTAGTTACGCAAAATAAAACAGAAATAAAATCGCTTGAAAGCCAGATGCGGTCGACCACGAATATGAAAAAGTCGACCTCATCTGGCAAACAGAAGGACAAAATCCCTCTTTTCAAGCTATAGATGTAAATAATATAGGTCGACCAATTGGGTTACCTCGCAAGTACAGAAGTCCAAGTGTTGTGGCCTAAATTCAAATACGAAGAATTGTCTCGTCAGGTCGACCTGGTTGACGTCACGGTCGACTGAATGGAATTCTGCAGCCAACAATATATCAAATTAGCCGGTGGAAATCACGCATTAGAAAAGAAGACGGCGAATGCTACATTAGGTCGACCTCACCTTAGACCTGGTCGACCACTTCCAAGACGTACAACAGCAACCGCGAACGATCTTCTTCACAAAGGCTCTTAATCGGAATAAAAAACCTAATTCAGACTTGGAGGCGTTGAAGAGGACTTATATTCGTATTTATAGAGATTTAGGACGTCAATGGGTCGACCCAATTCGTTTCCTTGTCCAATTCTGGAACCTTTCTGGTGTTGGAATCCATGTCCAATACGGATACGGTGTGAAGGCGGTCGACCTCTTCATAATGCGGTCGACCTGTTAGATGCACAAGGGTCGGCCTATGAGATATTTGGGTCGACCTTTCATTCTGTTAGACCACCAAAGCGGTCGACCGTATTATGTAAGAGGTCGACCGCGTCTCGGAACCCCACATACATGAATTAGTCCATTCGGTCGACCGCATGTTGGATTAGGTCGACCGAAAAGTCCATGTCACCGTAGCAAAATCCCGATTTATTTACTTTGCATTGATGCATTTGTGCAGGATTTACAATACATCGCTGCTTCTCATAGCGATTAATGCGAATCGCTTTACATAAGCCCGATTTTGGGTTCTAGAATCCCGGACTACACCAGTGACGAGAGTTGTTCGCTTGATACCGGCGTGATTTATGCAAATGGCTCTACTTTTCAGCTATCTACACACTAAAATCGTTGGTATGAAAATCGATGAAACCCAAACAAACTCTAGTATTTCAGAGGAATTTGACTGTAAGAAATTTATTGTAAGAAAATTTTATGGTAACTAGAAACGGGAAGAAAAAAAAAATCGTACTTTAAGGGAATGGATGAGGTCAGTAACCTTATGGTGAGTAACCATGAGTAACCCGTCCACATCAGCATGACATCAGCATCCTCTCTCTCATGGAAAGCCTTTAATTTTTCCCTCTTTAATCTTTGACGGACGATTTCTCGTTCATTTTAAGTCGAAATTTAATTTTTTTTGCACAGTTAGATCAGATTAATTGTGCTCTTCAAAATGATATCCACTTTAATATATTTTTCGAGCAAAAAAAATTGAGCCATTTTTTACCAGCCTATACCATATGGTATTGACTGGTATTGAAATAAAAGCATACCTATGTTTTGAAAAACGTACCATGGTGGTATGAACAAACCAATACTGTAGGATGGTTGAATACATGATAGTAGAAGTATATTAATTGTAATTTACGACTTTTAACATTGTATACCACACAATACCACCCCGTACCAGGGTGGTATTGTATGGTATTGTGTGGTATTTTTTGGTCCTGTAATTTGTTCACCCAGAAATTTGTAGATCCAATAGATCATGATGAACTCGTCCCTTCTGTGCAAACGTTTTCAAAAACGAATTAAAAACGAAGAAGATACCATACAATACCACCCCGTACCAGGGTGGTATTGTATGGTATTGTGTGGTATTTTTTTGTCCTGTAATTTGTTCACCCAGAAATTTGTAGATCCAGTAGATCATGATGAACTCATCCCTGCTGTGCAAACGTTTTCAAAAACGAATTAAAAACGAAGAAGATACCATATGGTATGTAGTTGGTACCGAGAGGCTAGAAATTTTTTTCCCTAAAAAATATTGAAAATTGATATCATTTTGTAGAGCACGGTGAACTCGTTCCATCTGTGCAAAAAAAATTAAAATCCGAGTTAAAACGAAAAAGATATGAGTCAATTAAGAAAGCTAGTGAAAATAAAAATAGTCTTTAATTCTCCATCCTTAGATCTAGATTTTCTAAATGAATGGTCCAGATTTGGTTATTGATGGGTGCATAACCCATGGTTATGCACCCTATCTTGAGCCGTACTTTAAGGTTGTAATGTTTTTGGCGAGTAACTTGTCTCGGTTCCAAACTCAACAATCCAAATTTTCAAACTTAACGATAAATAGCGGAACTGCGGCTTTTGAAAGCAGAGGAATTTCTCCAGTTCCTAAGGATAATGCCACAAATTTTGCTTCCCACAAAAAAAACCCCTAAAGGATAAAAACAAAAACAAAGATGTCCGCCTCTTTGCTTCCTCTCCTCATATTTGTATGCCATTGTTCCCCACCATTATCATCATCTCTTCAAATCCCCTGAATCCTACCGTTTCTTTCTTTCTGAAGCAAAGGAAAGGAAATGGAGTCATCATCGAGCCAGCGCGTCGCCAGAATTGCTGCTCATCTCAACCCTCCCAACTTTGAGGTTTGCGGTCTTCTTCTTGGTGGTTCTTTTTTTTTCCTTTTTAGAAGTTTTGGAAGTTCTTTACCGTCCTTACTGTAACACTACTCTCTTAAGAAATACCAAGTTCCTTCCCCTGAAGTTCTGAATCGTCACCCTCCTCCTCCTTCATCTCAATAAGGACTCGATATACAACAAATTGATTCAGGCAAAGTAGAAACATGCATACGAAGATGATAAAGCAAAGTAGAACAGAAAAATTATTGATATTATAAAAAATAATAATCCAATTTTAGCTAGTCAGAAAAAATTCCAGCGAATGATTTCTATTGAGCAAAGATAACGAATAAATTTGGAGGTAGTTTGGAGGTTGAGATTTCAAGTAGTGTATTTATTCGGTACATGTAATTTAAAAATTCAGTCGTTTTTTGGTTAAATTCAAGATAGAATACATGTATTACCTTTTTTATTGGCACCTACAATCACTCAAATAGGCGATTATTAATCTCTAACAGACAGTGAGATTGTTAACAAGAGACTGTCTACTCAACTTTTCTGTATAACAATAACACAATCTAAACCTCCAAACAATGTATATTATTGGTTACAAACATAGGTCTTTTTGTACTTTTTTATTGTATGAAAAATGATCACAAAATGAAATTTTTGTTACAGTTGAGGAGAGAAGAATGCAGGGCAAAAGGAGGGGCCCCTGGCTTCAAAGTGGCCATCTTGGGAGCTGCTGGCGGGATCGGACAGTCCCTGGCTCTCCTCATGAAGATGAATCCTTTGGTCTCTGTCCTTCATCTCTATGATGTCGTAAACTCCCCTGGCGTCACTGCCGACATCAGCCACATGGACACTACCGCTGTGGTAATGTTTTTTCTCCAAGTAAAAGAAGGAGAAAACATAACAATGCTCAACTTACTCTATGAATGCATGCATGGGCTTACTTTGTCGTATTATTGTGGTGTTTTCATTTTCCAGGTGAGGGGTTTCTTAGGGCAGCCACAACTCGAGGCTGCCCTAACAGGGATGGACTTGGTGGTAATCCCAGCCGGTGTGCCCAGGAAGCCTGGAATGACAAGGGATGATCTGTTCAACATAAATGCTGGAATCGTCAGAACCCTCTGTGAAGGGGTCGCCAAGTGTTGCCCTAATGCTGTGGTGAATCTCATAAGCAATCCTGTGAATTCAACCGTCCCAATTGCTGCTGAAGTCTTCAAGAAAGCTGGTACTTACAACCCTAAGCGCCTCCTCGGCGTCACCACCCTTGATGTCACTCGCGCCAACACTTTCGTGGTATTGCTCTTTTCTTCCTCCAAACTTGTTGGTTGGTCGCTATCCTTTCATCTTACTAGTCCATTTTCGCTACATTGTTGGTTGGCACCTTTGGGCAGGGAGAGGTTCTAGGACTTGACCCGAAGATGGTTGATGTTCCAGTTGTTGGAGGCCATGCTGGTGTTACCATTTTGCCTCTTTTGTCACAGGTCTTGTTAAACACCTTCACCAGCTGATATGGTGTTTTGGCTGTTTGTTTTCCTAAGATTCGAAAAACTTTTTTTCCTTTTTGCAGGTGAAGCCTCCCTGCAGCTTCACCCCAGAAGAAACTGAATACCTGACAAAGAGAATCCAAGATGGTGGCACAGAGGTCGTTCAGGTAAGAAATCAGTGCCCTAGTTTTCTTCTTGGTTTCTGTATCCAACCAATCAAAGATTAAAGCATAGCAATGTCGATTCAATTTCCAGGCAAAAGCCGGGGCTGGCTCTGCGACATTGTCAATGGTTAGAAAATAAACTCTCTCATGTTCTCCATTTTTCTTTCATTTCATACTCTTGATATGTGGTCATATGTCTAAGACATTCATCAAACAATAATGAAATATTGTTGTAATCTATGCTACAGGCATATGCTGCTGCTAAATTTGCTGATGCTTGCCTCCGAGGATTAAAAGGCGATGCAGGTGTAGTCGAATGTGCATTCGTGGCATCTGAGGTACTATGTTTTTTCACCATTAATCCCCCTTCTACCCAAGCTAATTCCATATCTCAATATGAAATAATTCTATGCAAATCCAACTTTCTTGTTCACATATATGCAGGTGACAGAACTGCCTTTCTTCGCAAGCAAGGTCAGGTTGGGTCGGGCGGGCGCTGAGGAAGTTTATCAGCTTGGTCCCCTAAATGAGTATGAGAGGTAAAAACTGTATGACATTTCGATCACTTATGTACTAATTTTTTACAGGCTTCTCACCTTGTGAAACTAACATCGTAACAGGATCGGGTTGGAGAAGGCAAAGAAAGAGCTGGCAGAGAGCATTCAGAAGGGAACGAACTTCATCAAAAAATAATTTCAAAGAATACAATCAGAGGATTGTCCAACAACTAGCTACACCTTTCTACTTTTATCCAGCAACTTATGTGACTATTGCTCTACTAGAAGATATTTTGCTGCCAGAATTAAAAAGACAAATAAAATATATCTTTTTCATTAGACCTAGTAGAGCATTATTTTTCGAGATGTGTGTTGTAGATGTTCTGAAAGCACAAGAAGATCCACATCATGCTTCAATGACTCGCTAAAACACAACTCCTAACAATGGCCAAGTGTAACCAATGAAAAGGACTGCAATATAGTGGTGCAAGTAATAAATATTGAATCCACGGGCCTTTAGAATTACTATTACTCAGCTTTAGTTCATTATCTAGCAAAACAGATTAAGATAGAAGAACTATAACTACTCTAGCAAACTACAGTTAAAGTTAATCTAATTACAGGTTGGGAACTCACTCAGGTATGATTCCTCCTAACTCCTCAATCAGGTCCAAGTTGTAATTTCCTTTGGTCGTTGTACTGTAGATTAGATTGCGGAAGATCCCAAAATAGCTTGGAATCTCTTAAGTTGACCAAGCCCTCTTAGACAGATTATACGGCAGGCGACTAGTCTTCACCGAGATAGAATGATAAGACGATTCACACATATTTCCAGTACAAAGCACTGAATTCACTTACTCTCGTACAATCAATTCACTACTATCAATCAACGAACCTCTCTTAACCTAATCATATACTATCTATCAAAGGTTAAAGCAGAAATCAAGAGAATTTGATCAGGATTCAATTGAATCAATAAATCATGCCTCAATAAATTATAATCAAACAGTATAGCATCCAAAATCTAATACAAGAAAATCCTAACACATGGAACTAGGAAATCATCATGCCACAACGACCCGCCTTGTCTGTTTGGATATCGATACACCATACGATCAACTCGTCTCGTGCCATCCATGCAAGTAACCTCAGTAAACATTTGATGGAGTTCTTCAAGGTTTGGTCTCGTAGCGACCTTCACTTTATGAAAATTACCGCTGACGTAATGTACCCTGATAGCATCGTATTTGCACATGTTTTCATTCTCGTTTCTTGATCGTTTTGGCTCGAGTTTGTGCCTTCTTGTTCTATTTTATGCTAGGTTGTGCTCCTTAGTCACATTTTAGGTCCTAACATGTAAAGTGAAACATAGGCACGACGATTCGGAAGAAGAAACTCGTGCATGACGTGAAGAAGAATGGATTTCTAGCTCATGTTATGGATAAATAATCATGTAGCTTGTCATAAAAATAAATAGGATGAGACTACGAGCTACTGGGATCAAACGATGACTAATTCGGAGTCCGGACGAGGAAGAAACAAAGCATCAAAGATAGTGGAACAGGTTCGGAGGAAGAAACACGGGCAGGAGAAACACGACCGTGTTTTTCCCTCCCGTGCCCGTGTTTTTAGTGCCGAGAACAACCAAGGGAAGGGATAAAACACGGCCTAAGAAACACGATTGTTTTTCTGTCCCCTACTCGGTTATAAGTATAATTTTTGCGATTTTTGAGTGGTGAGAGCTGAGTTTTGGTTCCCAAACACCCAAGGCACGAACCCTAGAAAGAAAGAGAGAGAGAGAGAGAGAGAGAGACTTGAGAGAGAGTGAGAGAGAGACTTGAGAGCATTTTTGGAGCTATTTTGGAGGATTTCTTTACTATTGGAGCTCGAAAATCAAGCTTGGAGATGGAGATTGAAGATCTAGATTAGATTTCTGCATTCTCGCTCTTCTCTATGGAGTAACTTCCCTTCACTTAGGTTATGAGCAACCCTAGCTCCATGTGTTAGGATCTTTCTTTATGACTCTTTGGATGCTATACTATTTTATTTTAATCGATTGAGACATGTTTACTGAGTCAATTGAATCTTGATCAAATTCTCTTAACTTCTGTTTTAACCTATGATAGATAGAATCTGATTAGGTTGATAGAGCTTCTTCAATTGATATGAGTGAATAGATTGTACGAGAGTCAGTCAATTCACTGCTTTGTACTGGAATTCGTTCCAAGTAGTGGAGATCTGTGTGAATCGCCTTAGCATTCTACCCCGGTAAAGGCTAGTCGACTGCTGGATAATCTGTCTAAGAGGGCTTGGTCAGCTTAAGAGATTCCAAACTATTTTCGGATCTTCTGCAGTCTAATCTGCAGTAAAACAACCAAAGGAAATTACAACTTGGACCTAATTGAGGAGCTAGGAGGAATCATACCTGAGTGAGTTCCCAACCTGTAATTAGATTAACTTTAACTGTAGTTTGCTAGAGTAGTTACACTTAGTAAGTAGTAACTATAGTGACACGAGCCTATTATCCCCCTCCAATATCGAATTGGAGGTTGATTCAATATTTATTACTTGTGCCACTATAGTTACACTTGGCCATTGTTAAGAGTTTTGTTTTAGCGAGTCAAGTTTTCGGCGCAATTGCTAGGGACTTTCTAGATTATTAGGTAAGGAAGAAGTTTGTTAATTTAGCTTTTCTTTCTTTTGTTTTTCTTTTCCACCCTTTCTTTTCACTTCGATGTTTTGTTTGTGATTGTGCAGATCTGCATCATGCATCGAGGCTTCTCTGACCAGTGGGGGTATCAACCATCACCCGGTTGGTATTACCCTGAGATTTCATTGGATAACCAGTACGAAAAAGGCTATGGATTTGGGTTCCAGGAAGAACAACCACCCTACTATGGAGAACAACCAGACCCTTGGGAACCTCAAGAACAATATCTTTATCAAGAAGAATTCCTCCCACAACCAGCAGGGCCATCAGAGCTGGAGTTAGCCATGGAGGTCTTCACGGGCCATTCTGCAGAGTCATGCTACACTCCACTAGCATATCCAAATAGACAATTGAGGTTTCTCGTGGAGCAGATTGCTCGAGACACCGAAAGATCATGCTCCAAGATGGACCTTCATAGACAAACTATTGCCCAAATTGACTTCTCCTTTCTCCTTGAAACCCGTGAAAAAAGGAGACCCTCCGAAACATAAACAAGCACTTAGAGGTCATTGAGAAATCTTGTGCACCATTTGCTCAAGACAACCTTTATGCTACCATGCAAGCAGAGGAAGAAGAAGAAGAATCCAATCACGGGGATGTTGAGGAGCATACAGAAGTTGTAACGGAGACCTCCCATGATAATCATGTCATCTGGTGGCAGATCACACCCTTTATCCATTTCTGCTTTGACATACTGGGCTCGAGCGAGGAGATGCAAGGTTTTCTCATTAAAGAAATTACTTGGAGACTTGCTCTCCAATCCGAGGTGGAAGAAGAAGAGAGAGAAAGGGTGAGGGAAGATGTTGTGGAGGATGAGGAAGAAAGCCAAGACGAGGAGATTCTTGATCTTTTCCAAGGGCACGAATCAAATTCTGAGGAAGGAAGGAGGGTTGAAAATGCAATTGGCGTCCAGGATGAGGACGACGTTGAGTTGGAAGAGGCTTGCACCGGCCATGAGTTACATGTGGTATCTCCACCAAACTTCGAGGAGCTGTTTGGCAAGGACCTATTTACAGTGTCTCCTATTTACAGTGTCTCTTTGCAAGACCAAGGCCACATCGACATTTTTCCTTCTAGGTGGACTCGACGATGGTTAATCTATGCTGTCATATACGGTTTGGAGCAATGAGACGAGAAAAGAAGAGAAAAAGAGGTCTTGAGGGTGGAGACTTCATCTGACTCAAGTGCACGGCCTACTCCACTTGATGCACCACATGCTCGTGACTTGAGACTGCACCTCATCGACGAGCACCTCAACTTCAAGGAAGTTATGGGGTGGACCAAAACTTAGGAGCCACCGTCCGGCTCACGACGTGAAATAAGCGCCAGTCGGGAGGCAACTTAACCAGCCAATTTGCATTTCTTTCCCTTTTTCTCTTTGGTTGACCTTGTTCTTTGATTTTAGAGTCAATAACTCAACAATTGTGAGATTTTTTGTGGTGTTTGTGTTCTGAATGTTCTCTCTACTTTCTCCTGGAATGCAACGTCTGCTCCGTCCACCATTATTCCCACTTGATCTGGTAACTTCATTCTACCCTCCTTATCTTTCCTCCATTGAGGACAATGGCATGCTTAAGTGTAGGGGGATGTTCCATTATGTTTGCATGTGAATGTTGTATGTGTGTGCTTGGAGCCTAGTCCATTGTCCAAATTTTAAGATTTGAGAGCTCCAAGTGCGTTGTTTCCTTGCAAATGCCTGCTCAGTTTACTTTGAATTGACAGTCTTTATAGTAATATGCAACCTAGGAGGTAGTGTAGCACTATGGAGGATGTTGATGCATTAAGAAGTCTCCTTTCTTCTTCATATTGTGTTGGTTGATTGTGAGAATTAGTGGTCTTAGAACACTTGAATCGTGTGGTATCGATGACTCTCTACCTATCATGGACTCCGGTATTATGTTTTGAAAAAGGTGCTCTCAACTGTGCTTTCAAAATAATGTATCTCATGTGGAAATCAGTGAAAGTGTGTGTAAGGGGAGACGGGAATCCGTTCCCAACTTCCACCTACTACCTCCAGCCCCCTTTCACCTCTTTCCCCCACGGGGCTTGAGACATCTGCTCCCAGCATGGCCTGTAAGAGCCGGGCTCCCTCAAAACCTTTGCTAGGTGGGAGCCCCGTTTTCTGGAAATGACAGGTTGGAACCCTTGCAAGCAAAGACAAAAATAGACAATCAAGAAAATGAAAGAAAAAAGAAGAGGGGGTATCAACCATCTTTAAAGAAAAAAGAGAGCGCCTAAAAAGTTGAGTCCATGATTTTCTGTTTTTGAGATTTGATTTATTCACGGATCATTTGTCCTAAGACCACTACTTGGCATGATCCCGATTCAGGACTAGAGTTCTCGTCGAAGAAGTTAGGAGGTGTCTTGTGCATTGGTTGACCTCATAAGCTATAAAGTAACATGAACAATAATGGGTTATAGGTATAAAATGCCCCTCTACTATGTCGTTTTATCAAACATGCCCCTCTACTATTTTTTACATCAAACATGCCCTTATACTTTGGAAAAATTATCAAACATGCCCTTGTGTTAAAATTTCCATTGAAAAAATCGTCAATCATGGTTGAACCAAGATCTACAGAACCCGACATCGGCAAATGGGAGGTTAAATATCACTTTTTGTCCCCTGTTTTATTTTTCTGGGTCTCGTTGAAGTGAAATTATTAGAATTATTTGGCTATAAAAAGAACCCAAAAAATTCTGAAGTGGAATTATTAAGGATATTTTTTACATTTGTGTCTCCCAAACCAAAGTTCGACCGTGGTTAATGGTTTTTCGGATGAAAATTTTAACAAAAGGGTATGCTTGATAATTTTTC